GAACCAGGTATACCTGGTTGCCCCCCAGGGGCGAAACCGCTTGGTGGAGGATAGCCAGACATGAGAATTGGTACTGAAAGGGATAACATTCATATCATTTGAAAGTAAAACAACCCATTAATTATATAGGAAGGGAGTATAAGTTAGACAAGCGGCTAATGATGTTCGTCTTTTATTGCAAGCGAGTCGTGGGAATCGACCCCTTCCCCCGATTCCGACGACTCGCTTATAAGAAAAGACGAATATTATTGACCGCTTGTTCAACTTATACCGCCTTCCCATATAAATGCATTGGCCTGACGAGAATTTATCTGTTACTGGTTTTGCTTCTATGTATCTAAGCTTCTATAGCTGAAAAAATAGCGTTGTTAATGATACAAGAAGAGGATGGAAGGAAATATCCTAATTGCACAACAATAGTGGTCAAAATACTTCCTGATAAGTGGAGTTCCAACAAGAATACGGTTAAAAGATTATCTCCCCATTAGGGGCGCGAAAAGCGTTAAATGAATGTGGCTGGTAACTTAGATTGTGCGACAAGTTGTGACTTTGATATCAGTAGTTAGCTACCACAGTCTTTTGTGGATACCTTATAACTTCAGTTTGCCGATTAGAAGTATGAACGAAGAGGTAGGTGTTCTACACTGGTTAGTCTAGCAGACGACTAAGCAAAATAAGCTTGCAAATATGAAAACAATTGAAATCTCGTGGGAAATGTGTTTTCCTATATAGACAGAGGACGGAATATGAGGGAATTTGCCACGCCTTGAACCTCCGATCGAGTTGTCGCGGGCGGGCGGGCATAGAGCGGCCGCAGAACAGGTAACAATCAATGATCGAGGAGTGTCGCCAATAAGGATACCGCAAATGGCATAAATTGATTGATGCTTCCATCCCTCTCCGAACATTCCTGATCACAAAGGAGTGATCGTTCGTTGTCATTTTAGTCCTGGCCTCCCCACGCACCCGTCTTTGTCGGCAACACTTCTCGAAAAATTCTCAAAGTTTAGGAATAAGACTATCCTGACAGTATAAAAGGCGGAGAAGTTCCGTTCTGGTAGGATGTATAAAATTCGAGCGAAAGCAACCATAAATTCAGATTTTTGTGCCATCTCGTGCGTTATATAGTCTCAACCGACGAAGGAGCCCACAAACCCGTGTTTCCATTCAAGTGGCAAGGATTCACACGAAATATGGGTCGTCGAGTGGCGATACCAACCCCTCCCCCCTTGGGATGTAAACCACATTCTACCTCCACAGGCTTATTGTCTTCCCCTAGTTCGTAGCGTTCCACCCTTAGAAATAGTTGATAGATCACATTCTACAACTCGATTATCAATCTTTTTACAGAAAGCGGTATTTTCTAAATAAGCTGGAGATAAAGGTCGATAAGCCCGAGGTGTAAAATTTACAAATTATCAGGACGGAGGGAAGAGATTAAAAATTCAGAGAAAAAGCAAGGAGCACAAACGTACAGTCGCGAAAACGAACGGGTTTGCAGGCGCAACCCCTGACATAACGTTATATGGCACTACGTCTTGACAACTGATTGGCCCTAATCTACCAATTTGATTGGCCCGACATGAGCTAACGGGTCATTTCGTGCGTGTGTGCAAGTTTGCAGAATCGAAGGCACAGGGTCAAATTACTGAACTTTTAGTGATGCGTGAATTTGTTGCGGACAGCGAAAATTGGTGTGTGGCTGTCTTTGATAAGGCTCACTGCCTCAACTTCAACCGACTGTCGCTGAGCCGACCCTGGTCTCCATCTCCAACTTGTCAGCTCTTCTTCCATTTCCACACTTAGCAGTCTATCCCTCATCATCAACATCGGCCTTCGAAGGTCTGTAGTGGCCCTAGCAGCCACTTGGAACCCAAGATCTGACAGACAACGCCTTTGCCCTGCGCGCTAATGCTGCCTGCGGCCAGGTGCCAAGTCTCGGC